AACGCAGGTGTGTGATCGATGGGGCCTCGCTCGAATTCCTCGATGATTTCTCTCCGAGCAAAGTCCCGAACGAGACGTGCATCTGCGTATCACAGCTGTGTCCCGAACGGCACGTGCATCTTCCCCGTTCTGACGGGAAGGAGATCGCGGGCATTAAATCCCGGGGGAAGACAGACCCGTGTCGGGTGTACGTCGGTCTCGTGCCGAGGCAGCTGGAAGATACCGCGTTTTTTTCATCTCGGGTAACAGCGTCGTTTTTGCTGGCGCGCGAGAAGACGTGCCCGGCACTTTGCGGTCGATTCATCTCGTTATATTGGTACGTCATAAGATACGACCCTTTTCTATGTACGCGAGACGACGAGTCAAGGATCTCTTCTTCGGAGAGAATCCGAACGCGTATGATAATCCCGTCTTTGCGCATCTTCGAAGAGAGAGTTCGTCTATTTAGGAAGCGTATATAGGTACTCGACGTTTCCTTTTTCGACGAGAAGAGAGACAGGAAGTCGCGCACAAAGCGCCGAAGAGGATCCTCAAGTCTTCAAATGACTCACGTAATTGACCAACGTTCTATACGCGCGGCCGCGGTTCCTTACATGGAAATTCGCGATCGCGCAAATATTTCGGTCGGAAATTGAATTCAAACGCGACGATACGTAACGGGTCACGTACAAATGGAGACAAACCGGATCATCGGATACGGAAATCGCGCGGAATAAAAGTTGTCGGGTAGATTCTGGGACGACAAGTGGCAGAAGAGAAAAGCGCATTGTGGTATGAGAACGGGACTTTAATAATAGCGTCGCACAAGTGTATCAAGCGCGCTTGTTTGAGAGAGAGAAAGAGAGAGAGAGAGAGAGAGAGAGAGAGAGAAATATCATGAGCCGCTTTCCAGCCATTTACGGCGTCGAGGAGCAATTTAGAATAGGAAACTCATTCGACCGGACGGGACTAATTAACTTGATGAAGTTGTTACGAGTCGGGCCGAGGTAGCCCTTCGTTTTGAATTAACGCGGAGAACTATCGATGAGCAGCGTGTGTGTGATTCCGCTTTTTTTTGTGATTATTTATAGAGCCGGCAACGGTGAGAACGAACGCCTCTCCCGGCCGCGACGAAGAACCTTGAACCCCTCGTCCGGGTTGGCGCGAGTGCGCGAGCACGAAGAGCGATGTCGCAGGAAGATGCCGAAACAGAAACAAGGCCGAAACCGTATTGCCGGACGCTTTGTTCGATTACCATCTTACAATTAGCCATTTCCGGCTCGAACATTGTTTTATGCGCGTAATAATATGTTAAAAATTTCATCAAACACTCCAAATAAAATAAAAAATAACAATTAATGAAGAGTCTCGGCTCTTAGAAGTTTAAAACTTATTAACAATAATAAAAATGTGATAACAGGTCAAATTCGAGCAAATAAACTGGAGTCTTAGACTCCAAGTCAGAGTCGAAATATTTCGCTGACTAATTGTAATATTTTATTTTAATTTCTATTTTAATTAAAAAATGTGTATGTTTATTTGCTTGAATTTGATCTGATTGTCACATTTTTCTTGTATTTACAACACGAGCGTTACTCGATTATTACTTAATTAACAATAATTTGACGGTCATTGAGAGCCTTACACTGGATGTACGTTGCGAAATAAATTTTATTTATTTATATTTCTTTGTGTAAATATTACGCATAAATTTTGAATTGAAATTTCAACTCAACTACATACAAGATGCTGTATTTGCACCTCGTATATGATAAATACCCTTATTACCCTTTTATTTAAAATAAAAAATATAAAAATGTTTGTGAGAATTGATAATGATGTATTTTTAAAATTGCCAAAGCGGAGGCGCACGTGAGATCGACTTATACGTGCAGTTAACCGAGTGCAGCTCGCGAATGCACTCGGATAACTTAATTGCTTCCGGAAGTTCGGCTCGCAAATCGACGCGTCGTTGCCCTCCACGACAGGTGTTACGAAAGTAATGACAGGTTACGCGCATTATTACCGCTGCACACGGTATATATATCATCGGTGTTAACTCTCAGCGAAAATCATTCGTGTTGCACGCGCGATAATTGTGCAAAAACTTTCAAGTTTTTAGCTTAAAATAAGCGCGATGAAAATTTGGACGAAAATCGGCGAAAAACAAAAAAAACTACGAAGGGTGACGAATTAAACGTTGCTCGGACATTGCGAGCACCGTTACGAGTACGGTAATTTAAATAAGCGGCTATAACGAAGGCTACTCTCATGTCCATTTTTCCGCGTAACGGAGACACGACAGTCACCCGTCGTTGGATTTAAACGCGACGAGGAAAAAAAACACCCACGTTCCCGCAATTTTCTCAAGCAAAGGGACTGTCATTTCGTGCGCTCTTGCAATTTTAATGTTAATGAATGTCGAACGCCACATCTCCGACGTCAAGATTTTAAATAAAATATAAAGTTTTTTTACACCCGGTTGTTATAAATAATGCAAGTCTCGCGAATAGATACAATCTCGAGTACCGAACCCTCAGAAGTACGCTTGCACGCTACGTCGGAGCCTATTCTGCTGCTGAAAGCTCCTGGAATACGCGCAGTAAACCCCAGTAATTCACTTCTGGGGCGGTCGCCAATGCGCTTTATGCGCGTTCCGTTCTCGAACGGAGCCGATCGTGATCGTTCAACAGTGAAACGCTTCTCCTGCTCTCGTGGTTACGAAATCTCCGAGAGATCGAAAACTTTATAAACGCGCACCGCAGAACATCGAACCCTCTCGATGCGCGAAACGATCCGACAAATTGCGACTGGCAAAAACTGCGTGTAGCTTTTATCTTTAAAAACAAAAAAAAACATCCAGGAGTTTACACTGAGTGTGCTCGTAACACTCGACCAGTCGTCTAAAAATAGACAGCTCGCCGACGAACGGCGCTTATCGACCGGGAGCCTATTAATCGGCTCCGTTTTCAGACCGGTTTTGGTTGGGAGAAACTGTTAAAATCTTTAGAAATAATATTTTAAGTAATAAAATATTTGTTTTAATAGAAGACTATACACAATTATTAAATAATGAAACAAACTTTTCCGTTTATTTTACTTATCGTGTTTAGGATTAAAAATTAAAAACTTCGAAAACTTTTTAAAAATAATGTTTTTCTCTCCGAAGCTTCGATAGGTCTGAAGAAAATGTCAGAATAATATATGCGAGTGTGTATGGCGATATCGGTACGCTGTTCTTGGCGTTTACTCCTGTTATCGTCGGTGGCATGGGAGCGCGCGGACTTTTATCGCAACAACAACGTTACTCACCGGTCGAATAGCACGGTCATTTAACGATTATCAGACACTTTGACGGAATCACTCCGAGACATCGCGCGATATAACCCAGGCGAAACAAGTTTCGTATCGTATCGTCGTTCCGTCCGACGAGCTTAACATATCCGACCAATGAAACGACGGTACTCACGGGCACTCCGGGACCACACGATTCAAGCCTTCCATTAATCCGTTTCGGAACTTCACAAGCCGATTAAACGGTCTATCAGCATCGCGCAGAGGAACATTGCAATTCGCAATTTCGACAAACTCAATTATCTAATATTCCACAAACGACGGAGAAACCGCTTGTACTCATGCTTGAGCGATCGATATATTATTCGTTTTATAATCGAGTTAATACGCCTATCTCCGGCGGTAGTTTTTCTTCTTTACGCGTGACACGCACGCGGGTGTGAAGTCGTAAAAATTAAATGAATAACTATAGCAGTCGCTACTATAAACCGATCGCGATCGTAAAACTATCGCCACGGTCACGCGTCGAACCCGGCGACGGCGTCACGCCGTTTATTTTCTATTCGTAACACGAGACAAAGCAGTTACCACACCCTGGCTACGCGTGCGCGGTTTACGCTTAAAACACTTGTATCACGTGTCACGTAAGACGCCGCGCCGTAGGTACGCGTGCCTCATGTTGAGCGAGCTGCATCGCTGCAGAATGTCAGTCTGTCGGCATTGGTGGTTTTCTTTTTTCAGTGTAAAACTACGTTTTGTTTTTGCAACACATCCGTTACAAAATGATGAACGGAAGACTAATAAAACATTTATCTTCGTTCGGAATAAAATATTTGTACGTCGTGGACAGTAAAGTAGTAAATATTTCCACATTCCCCCGGCGAAATGAGCATTTAGTTCCCCAAGATAATTGGTTTGTCAAATTTGTTCAAGCAATAAATTAGACTTAACACGACTCCGTGTCTTAATGCGCAAATACGAGCGCAAACGTGACCTCCTCCTCTCCGGCATCGAAACCGGTGGTCGAAACGTTCTTAACCGGGGAAGTAGCACGTTGCGAAATTCCGCCATTAAAACGCGAGAGGTTTACGGCGGAGGTAAGGTAACCAATATTCACGAGCGAGTTAAAAGCAGTCGTACGACGACGATTCGGCTGGAAAAGAGCGCGTCCTGTCACTTACGAGTCATGAATATTTACGCAAGCCCCCCCTCGAGGATCCTCCTCGTAACGAACGACGAGCGTTAAAGATTCGGCGATCGGTCGTGTTCATAAATCGCAGACGGAAGAGATGCTCGTAAACTTGAGGAAATAGTAAACGAAAAAAATGGTGATCTCTTCTCTCGAGCGTCAAGGACCAGAGGGATTATCTTTCGCAATATTTTATTCTCTCGTGAGAAAACACAACCTCGTTTGAATATAAATTTTGTTTTTCATTACAAAAATTCGAGATAATTTTTATGATTATTTTATTGCTAAATATATTAAAGTTTTATCATAATTAAATTCTTTGGTGTCTCCACTTAATTTGCGCGTGTGTAGTATCGTATTATGTGCTCGTGCGCGCCTAAACGTACATGAGACTCAGCCGAGAGACGCGCACGAAAAACAGGTTGCATACGCCAGGCGCTTACTCACTCGAGAAAATTACGTTACGCGCATGATTCTAACAACAAGCGACTGTATTCAATGATTTCTTTATCTTTAGCAGTACGTAATTCTCTCTTACCTGTACCGCGCTGTTGAGGAAACAATTGTTCTGCCCGGGTCCGTTGAGCAAACCCTTCGTGCTGGTGAAACTGCTGTTGTGCTCGCGATGCGGCGATTTCTGACAATTCTGTCCCTCCGCCGTCTGATTTCCATGATGGCACTGCGCAGATTGCAGATAACCGGCGAAGTCCACTGTGTCCTGGGATGCAGCCTGCTGCTGCAATCCCATTGTAGAGGTCATTTTTAATCGATCAAAATATAGCCATCTAAAAAACATTTACATAGAAACAATCGTTAGTTGCGACATTTCATTCTTTAATGAAATAATCAATTTTTTCCGCGAACAGCTAAATTTCTTAAATTAAATATACGTGACATAGAGATATAAAAAGATAATTTTTTTTTTTTTTTTTTTTTTTTAGATGACAGTCAACCGATATCGAAATATTTGAAGTATTATCGAGTCGCGCGCGCTCGAGAGGATGCTTTTATTACGCCTCGAGCTGCGTCAGTGAACTTCGAGTCTTCGTGTTCGCGGGAACTCGTAAAACCAAGTCAGCGAAGAAACTGCGAAGTGTAATTACAGGGGTAAGATCGGAAAAATCAGTTACGAGAGCGCGATACGTAAAGTTTTATGATCCGTACGTCCGAAGAAATCAATTGCGCGCGCGCGCGCGCGCATGTTGATTGCTTCCATTTTCGATTTCCCTTCTTAATGAAACAAAAAAAAACAAAAAAAAAAAAAACATCCGCATTTCTCGCATTCCCCGAGAAAAGAAAATCTCGAGGATCCGCTCGAGAGCGAGGAGACAAATATCGTCTGAAGTAGCGGCGGGTAAAATAAAGGAAAAAAGAAAAAAGCGGAATCATCATAAAGAATCGTGTAAAGGTGAAACGTGCGACGGAAAAGGGCAGAGAATTGCCGCGCTAAACGCTACTACGACCGAGTGGACGGCGTTAATTTCAAGGAGCCGAGCCGGAGAGTGGTCGAAGAGCGGCGTATACGTGCTTGAGAGCACGCCTGGCGCCAGCAGTCCCGTCTTGACTTTCAGGCCTTCCAATACACAATATACTTCTCGTCACACGTTTCTTTCCCCGACGTCTCTCGCCCCCGCTGTTGCACTTATCGCGAAGTCAACGAAGCAAGCCGGCAAGCGCGGTTGAATATTTTGTCTGTATATACTTTTCCACGCTCTCGTGATGATGAGAAAAGTTACCACGATCTTGCGAACCGAGAAAATTCGAGAGAACTGAATTTTCTCTCGAAAACCCATCCAACTGTTTAGCTGTCTATCAAAACCGTCATTATTCGAGGGAAGTAACAAGCGGAATATCGAGAGAATACGGCGATATACGTCTGTCGCATTGGTTGGAAGAAACGTAGACGTACCATCAGTTCGGGAAATGGAGCACAATGATGATGACTGACAATTCATCGATTTGTCGATTCGAAACAACAGATCAAGCGTAAAACATGCGATCGTAATTGCGCAGACCGGCGTCTGTTGCGGAGAAGAGTGTTTCACAGCGGATAACATTCATCTCTATAGTCGGCCATGTGCGAATGAGCAGCCGACCAGTTGACCTCTTCCTCTTCCCCCGTATGTGTGTGTGTCACGTCCTGCGTTTCCTGTCCTTGGCAAAAGGAATTTCCATTTATGCGATGCGAATCGTACCGGTTGGTCCGGGGAACGCGCGATTTCACGCCTCTCGAAGTCGCGATAGTGCGCAACGCAAAATCGGCTATTGTCATGCGCGGATCTAATTTTAGATAGCGCCACTCGAGAGGGGACGAGTATCCCGACTACCTAACATATATCAAACGCGCGCTAATTTTTCAAACTAACGACTTAAAAAAAAAAAAACAATTCATAAATAATTCAAGACAACGATTTTTAGCCAATGAATAAACAAAGATCGCGTATTTGCACGAGATTGGTTTTACATCAATTTTGCCGTGTTCAAGACCAATCTGTAACCAGTGTCGTACTAATGCTTTGCGGGTCCCGAAGCGCAGAGAAATTTCTTAAACGACGTTCGCGTCCCCCGCCGTGTACGTGTTGCGCATACTAATGTGTGTACGAACCTCCGTTTGTCTCGTACGGTAATTTACGTAAGTGTATTTATAGACGTGCGCTACGTTCTCCCGTGTCGGTTTCTTTAATATTCAACGTACAATGTTTATATATATTCTAACACGTTTATACATATTTGTTTCAATTTTTAATCAATGATACGCGATCAAAAAAACAAACAAACAAAAAAAAACAAGACCATGAATAAACCAGGAAACTAAGATCTAAGATCGCTCGAATAGTAGAAAAAAAAAGAAGATGAGAAAGAAAACATCGGGGAAATTACGACTTCAAGTTCGAACGTAGTTATTTTTGTTTCGGTGATTCGCGACGCGGTCCCGTCGGAATGTCGAAGAAATGTTTCGCGCGCTGCGCGTCGCACCTCGTCGAAAAAGAAAAATATGCAAAATAGGTCGCGCTGCGAATCCAAACCCCGAGGATTTTGACGCGCGGAGTCGTTTGGAGACCGTCACGCCGGTTGTAAAAGTCGAGCGTACGCGCGCAATAAAACCGGCAAATGACCGGAAGGCCAAGTTTCAGATTCCGGTATTATTCAATGATTTATTCAGAAGGATTTCTCTTACGGGTGCTTCTTTTTATTTTTTTTTTTTTTTTATTTTTTTTTCACGCGGTGTTTTATTAAAATTCACATTGCTTGATTTTGACGTGACAAAACTTTTCCCACATATTGTGGGTCCGTTATATGAACAAGACGTTTTAATTTACATCTAATTTTGCCGAGAGAGACGAGTTTCTTTCGCGTCAGCATATTGTCGCGGCGAATTGCATCGCAGCGCGTCGCGTTTTGCGAGCGCAAACGCGACGAAACTTCGTTCCCCAGCAGCAACAATCGCGGCGCACAATTAAATAACGCGCGAACGTTAAAGCGCGGAGAAAGAAAGTCGTGGTGAAAGAAAGCGACGTCAGCCACATAAAAAAAAATAAAAAAAAATAAAAAAACAAAGAAAAACACGATGAAACGTTTGTCATTTCTTCGGGTGTTCCCTTGCAAAAATATAATTCGCTTTTCGATATTGCGGTTCGCGCGACAGCCGCGGAATAATGAGAGAAAGAAAGAGAGAGGGAAAGAAGACAGAAGAGAGAATAATTTCTGCAGAAATAATAACTAGACATTAATTCAATGGAGTATCGAATAAAGAATTTCGTTGAATACTCTAACGTTTATTGCGGCTTGTAATTTTTAACAATCGCGAAGGTTTATTTTTATTATTATTTTTTTTTTTTTTTTCCGCGACTATTTGAAACAATTACGGACCATTTGTGTGCAAAATACTCGTGTGTTCTCTGGAGAAAAAGAGAAAGTCCAATAAAATTCCAGATGTTACATTCGCGCGAAATATCGGTTTTGTTCGCCGCTCGTCACACGCGACACAGAGAGAAACACACGTGATACAGCGGCGCATGTACTTCGCTACTTTTAGTTTCAACGGAGCGTTCTCTCTCTCTCTCTTTCTCTCTCACTCTCTTCTTCGCCGAGAGTGTCTCGTTTGTTAAAATACGAATGAGATCCCGTGGATGTATTTTCGCCGCCGCGTAAACGTCTGCGAATTAATTATGAATCACATTGTACTTGGCGTCCGTGCGAAGCGAGTTAACGTGAGTTAGTTCCCGGTTTATCTGCGCCGGGTTTCCCTCGCAAAAGCGGCGATTATTGCGGCTCTATATTTACGTATGTGCGAACACACGGCGCGCGAGTGGCGTGTACGAAGAAGATGTTGTACTTTGCGGAGAAGGGAAGGTCTCCGTACGATTGAAAAAAACGTCGGTGAGAAATGACGTTGCTGGTGGAATCGGATGAATAATTGAAGAAGCGCTCTGGCGATTAAAAAAAAAAAAATCACCCACGCAATTTTTCACGAACCGTGTATAACGCGGCGTTGAGATTAAATTGAAACTACAAATCGAACGCGGAACGCCGGGAGAAAATTGCCGGCTAATCGAATGAAGAATTATCGGATCGAATGCGCACGGGAGAAACGTATCTCTGAAAACGCGAACGAAGCTATAATAGCCTTCTTCTACGGAATATATAGGACGCGCGGAGACGCGAAAACAAACAACTCGTACGAGAGACACCGTGAACGATTGCGATAGAAAAAAAACAAAAAAAAAAATTCTGAGCGAGAGGAGGCGTTGCGTGTGAGATATAAGAAAAGAGTCGCTTCGAAGCTCGAACAAACGAAGGAAGGAAGGAAGAAGACGAGCGTGATTCCCGTACGCGAAGGTGATTGACACGGCGCGTATCTCCCCAGATTTTGCGATCATTTTTCACCGCAAGGGATTCGGGGATTTTCCGACTCTATATGTAACCGTGTGCCGTTGAAATTTTTCGCGTCACTGACACGCGGAGTGATCAATAAGCCGCCAACTAGCGGCGCATCTATCAAATCGTGGATTTGATAGAAGCCTCGGCGATTAAACCGCCTGGAAAAGTTTCGACGTGAAATAGCTTCGTTCGATCTAAACGCGAGGGGAAAAACAGTTGAGAAAAAAGCAATCTATGTAATTGGATTTTTGAAATTTCGAAAAAAATTTCGCGATTCTCAATACGAAGCTTTGATTTTTGTTCGAAACCGAATCACGGCACAATTCGTCTTTACTCGCGAGCAAAAAAAAAGTGGACTCGGATTTCGTTCGTCTTCCTTTCTTCGTGCTTCCCGAACGAAGGTTTTAGGTCCGAATACGCCGATTACTGTAATTTACCGGAGGATCCACAGGTGCGCTTTTGTACTGGCACGTTTTTCTTTTTTAACAACTCGCCAGAGAGACGTCATCCGAAATTCTCGGAAAGCTATTTTTTTGTACGATACTACCCGATCGTAAGATAATAACATGCGATCGGTAAGCCGCCGAATCACACGCGCGAATGTGATACAGGTGTATTAGAAAATGACCGTCGATAATCATCTCGTCCATCGGCTCTCAAAAATATCGAAAAGTCAAATTTCACATTTTGTATCTCAACGCGCGATTGAAAATTACGAAATAAATTTCTCGAAACACTTCGCGTTCGAGAAATTGCTTCGAATGACGTTCGATTGTTTGAAACATTTTGTCTGACAAAGAGAATGTAAGCACGTATCGAGGAATACTTTCATCCAGGCGTCTTATTCTCGTTCCTCTCGGCGTTGGCGATCGAAGAACGCCAACCTCGCGTATGCATAAACTCG